TGATTTACTTTTTAAAAAAAAATCCGTCATTGAAAACCCTGTGAAGCATAGTTTTCCTGTAATACATATGGGGTGACCATGAGTTAGAGCCAACTCAGGGACAACAGGTATAATATATAACTTGGTCTAATGGTTAATCCACTTGGCTGCTAAACAGAAGAATGGAGGTTTGGTTCCACTCACAGGTACCTAGCAAACTATTTCTGAAAACACAACCTTGAAAACTCTATGAAACATTGTTCTCCTGTGATGCACATGATGTCGCCACAAATCTAAATAAACTCAATAGCAACTGAATATGGGTTTAGTCTTATTCATGATCATGCTAATTTCATTTTTATATTTCAAAATCTGTGATAGTTAAATCAAATCAAAGACAAAATAATAAAGTGGGAGGTTTTATTCCTTCTGATGGGATTACTATGTAGCTATGAGTTGGAACTGACTGACTGGTACAAAACAACAACTGCAATTAAGACTGTGTTATTGGTAGAGGAATACAAAAATGAAATATTAATAGGGGGCAGAGTTGGGACACCTCTCCAGGCAGTTGTTGCTAGAGGCTGTGTTCTTTATCCATGTAAAAATATTGCATTTCAAAAAAACACAACAGCCCTTGTTAATTTAAGTTCATGCAAAGTTAACATTCTAGAACCTGGACAACATGGCAAGCTAACTCAGGCTGCTGTTTCCTTCCTCAAACCCAATTCTAAATTATCATAAAACTAAGTGAAGGTTGAATTGATTTCAGAAGATAATTTTAAAACTTTGAGGTCCCTGGGGAGACAAAAGATGGCTGAGGCCTTGTGTGGAACAGAAAGAGTAGCCCAGAAATGGAACTCTCCTCTCCTCAAAGTAGGCAAAGACGAGAGCTTGTCTTCTGGTTCACTTTTATTTTATCAGTTCTCTGAAAGTTGTTGTTGTTAAGTGCCATTAAGTTGGTTCGGACCCATAGCGACCCTGTATAGCGTTTCCAAGAAGCAGCTGGTGAACCTGAACTGTGGACCTTGCTGTTTAAACAGACTTTGCAGTCCAGCATATTAACCCACAGTGCCACACCAGGTAAGGGAAAATAGCAGAAATGTTCATCTTATACAGTGTCTGGGATACAGTATCAGTTCAATAAATATTGGATGAATAAAAGAATATATTGGGGAAGGAACATGATGAGAACTAAATGACACAAAAAGGCTTCCCTAGAGGCCCTTAAGCACATCTGACTATTACAGTTATAAACATTCTAAACAATTTTGTAAGGATGTTGCTGCTTTATCCTTTTGCTGGTCTTCCCCTCTGAATCTTCCAAGTGTCATTCCTTCTTCACATCAGAGTAGATGACTAAGAAACATACAGGAAAAAAAAATCATTTAAGAAAGCAGGGGGTCATGAGGAAGGAAAGCAAGATGAAGAGTTTCCAAGAAGCCTAACTCATCTTGATCTCCAGACATGTTCCTCTGATGTTTGCTGTGGAGAGAGGAAAAAAGAATACCGAGCTATCAGTTTCTACTAATACTCTATTTCCAGACTTTATACCGAGGACACAGAACTACTATGCTTAATGTATGAATTTTAACCTTCTCTTGTTGTTCCATCCCTAAATGTTGCTTGCCCTGAAGTCTCTCTAAGAGTTCATCTATCTATTAACTTCTCTATCATTCCTTACTAATAAAGCCCTTCCTCTCTCTGATACAATGTCTATGGATTATTTTCTTACCTTTTTTCCCCCTTTTGGTTTCTCTAACGAACACACTATTCTTTTGTAGTGGTTCTCTAAGCAGTACAATATTCTTCACTTTCCTGTTATTTCTATATGTTTCTTAGAGAACCATCATGGGTGGTTCACCTTATAATATGGAAGGAAATTGAAGGCACAAATAAGGTTGGAAAAACCATTGGTTCCTCACAGAAGGAGTTTGGTAGTAAAGGCTGCTCAGTGATGTCTGCTTCTTTCTCCCATCTTTCTATATGTGCATGTTGTTGATATTGCTAAGGGCCATTGAGTCAGTTCCATCTCAAGGTGGGCATGGTGGTAGTGTGCCGTGGAGTCAGTTCCAACTCATAGTGACCCTATATAGGGTTTCTGAGGCTGTAACTCTTTACAGAAGCAGAAAGCCTCATCTTTCTCCCATCTTTCTCATCAGTAGATTGGCTGGTAGTTTCAAACTGCTGACCCTGAGGTTAGCAACCCAACTCGTAACCACTACACTACCAGAGCTCCATCTCATAGTGACCTTGCATTGGGTTTCTGTGGAGAAAACAATGGGTTTGAACTGCTGACCTTGCAGTTCTTATCCTACAACACCATATCAGAATACTGTAAATGGACATAGTTGGACTAAATCTCCTACCCTCTCCTTAACTTTCAAGTATATCAGCTTGAAAGGTGTGCAACCACTGGCATAGAGAGGAAGACTGTATCATTTCAATTCTACTTGGCTAGTCATTGACAGAGAAGGAGAGTAACAGGGCAATCAACTCTATGAAAAAACTATACTGAGTAAGCTTAGCATAGGATCCAACGAAAGAAGAGGTGAGTAGCTGGCTGACATTGACCAGGAAATCAGCTGAGTTTCTAGCAGCTATTAGTTCTATTGAAGGAAGCCAGGAAGAATACAGACCAAAAGGCAAATAGTGTTGCAACTTGAAGAGCACTGGGTAGCATCTTGAAGGACATGGCTCTGTCCTGCTACATCTATATTGTCTCAATTGTTGCAAAATTGCATATCAAAATGAAAATCCTCTGGATACATTCAATGACTCCTGCAATCACACTCAAGACTTTGGATTCCTATTCTTCCCTAACTTTGGATATTCTCTCTCAACTGATTTTCCTCCTTTATGCTTGTATCTCAGATTCTCACTGAGCACTTGTTGTTGTTATTGTTGTTGTTGTTGTTGTTGTTAGGTGTCATCAAGTCGGTACCGACTCATAGTGACCTTATGCACAGCAGAATGAAACACTGCCCGATCCTGGGCCAACCTTACTATTGTTGCCACGCTTGAGCCCATTGATGCTGCTGGGGTGTTCCTCTTTTTCTCTGACCCTCCACCTTACTAAACATGATTTCCTTCTCCAGTGACTGGTCCCTCCTGACAATATGTCCGAAGTATGAGAGATGAAGTTTGACCATCCTGGCCCCCAAGGAGCATGCTGGCTGCACTTCTTCCAACACAGATCTGTTGGTACTTTTGGCAGCCCCATGGCACTTTCAATATTCTCCTCTAACACCATAACTCAAAGGCATCAATTCTTCTATGGTCTTCCTTATTCACTGTCCAGCTATCGCATGCATATGAGGTTACTGAAAATACCATGGCTTGGGTCAGGCAAACCTTAGTCTTCAAGCTGACATCTTTGCTCTTCAACACTTTAAAAAGGTCTTGTGCAGCAGATTTGCATAATGCAATACAATCGCTTGATTTCTTGACTACTGTTTCCATGAGTTGATAGTTGATACAAGAAGAATGAAGTCCTTGACAACTTCAATCTTTTCTCCATTAATAAGAATGTTGTTTATTGGTCCAGTGGTGAGGATTTTTGTTTTCTTTACATTGAAATATAATCCATACCGAATGCTGTGCTCTTTGATCTTCATCAGTAAATATTTGAAAGAGAAGTGACCCAATGGAATGTGGAAATCATAGGATAATATCTTTGATATCCCATGTGAGTAGAGTTTTACTAAAGGTAATGCAGAAACAGCTGCAAGCATACATTGACAGAGAAATTCCAGAGGTTCAAGCTGGATTCAGAAGAGGACGTGGAATGAAGGACATCATTGCTGATGTCCAATGGATCTTAGTTGAAAGTAGAGAATATCAGAAAGATGTTTACCTGTGCTTTATTGACTATGCAAAGGTTTTCAGTTGTGTGGATCATGACAAGTTATGGGCAACATTGCGAAGTATGAACACTTAATTGTGCTCATGAGGAATCTGTACATGGACCAAGAGGCAGTTGTTCGAACAGAACATGGGAACACTGAAAGGTTTAAAATTAAGACAGATGTGTGACAGGGTAGTATTCTTTTACCATACTTATTCATACCGTATGCTGAGCAAATCATCTGAGAAGCTGGGTTATATGAAGAAAAACGTGGCATCAGGATTGGAGGAGGACACATTAGCAACCTGCAATGGACAGATGATACAAATTTGCTTGCTGAAAGTGAAGAAGGCAAAGTATTTACTGATGAAGATCCAAGAGCACAGCCAGACTCATCTCATTAAGATGGCTGACCCTCTACTTTCCCAAGCACAATATCTTTTTCCAGGGACTAGTCTTTCCTGGTTGTTGTTATGTGCTATGGAGTTGGTTCTGACTCATAGAGACTCTGTACGGGGTTTCCGAAGCTGTAAATTTTTATAGGAGCAGAAAGCCTCATCTTTTTCCCGCAGAACAGCTGGTAGTTCCGAACTGCTGACCTTAAGGTTCACAGCCCGACTCATAACCACTACACTACCAGAGCTCCTTGTCTTTCCTGGTAAAATATCCAAAATATGTGAAACAAAATTTCATCGTCCTTACTTCTGAGAAGCATTCCAAGACAGATTTTTTTGCTCTTGTATCAGTCCATACTACTTTCAACATTCTTTGCCAACACTATAATTCAAAATACATCAATTCGTCTCTAATTTTCCTTTTTTTTGTCCAGCTTTCACATGCATAAGAGATGATTGAAAATACCATGAGTTTGTCATCTAGTCTCATAAAAATGAAGACTCAGCGGGCCTTTTTTATTATTATTTTTTCATCTTATCTACAGGAATCCTTGGAAATTGTATACAGCATACTATGAGTTGAAACCGACTGGACAGCACATAACACAGCAACAACAGGAATTTGCCTCGAGAAATCCTCTGTTCCCATTTAGATTCACAGATTTCACATCAGGGGCAAGTGATGTGATGAAGTCTCGATTGCACAGAGAGCACCATAGCACAACACCCACTTCCCTGGGAAGAGGCATCTTGACAGAAGCCACTTCGTAGTTTCTCACTTGAGCCTTGTGTCTGCTGGATGCTCCATACCTGGGAATAAACTACATCCATATCTTTAGCACCCACTAAGGAAAAATATAAGACTTCACAGATGTTATATCCAGTGGCTCAAATGTCAAACATATCTACCCAGTCCCATTTCATAGCAAACCTTTCAATCCCAAAATGACCCCAAGGAATTAACTGGGAGTCCTGAGGGTTCAGTGGCTAGGAAATCAGTCTAGGCCATACTCACTTTATGGTCTTTTCCCCCACTGCCCTCTTCCTTTCTTGGCTCAGTCTCAGAGTCCCTTCTAAATGGAGAAACTCACCATTCACATATACTGATTCCAACTCTTCCACTGTTGCAAGTGGACTGGAGTGGGTGGTCTCACCATTGGCATACATGAGCTGCAGCTCTTCCACTGCTGGGGGTGGACTGGAGTGAGTGCACTTTTGAGGGCCTGGGTTGGAAGGGCCTCTGTGAGAAAGTGAAGTGACCACATAGTAATCACAGAACAGTGAGTGAGAACAGAAGTTAGAAAGGCTTGGAAGACATGGTGTAAGAGGTCAGTCAGGTATCACTGTCCTTGAGTGCTATTTGTATAGACTGTGTGTGGTCTTTCAGGGTGCTCCAAGGTTAAACTAGGTTGCCACTGAAGGTAAGCAGCCAGAGATATGTCAGATATAGATTGCATAATCACAAAGTATTTTCTTTTATCTTTCTTTTTATTTTAGTACAACTTCATTTTTAAGTTCACATTACATTTATTTTATTTTGTTGTTGAACAAAGTATTTTCTCTCTTTTTTTTTTTTTTAACTGTTTATTGTGATTTAGGTGAAAGTTGACTGAGCAAATTGGTGGGAAGAAAATTATTGGATGGAAAACCTTCCATTGAACAATTTCTATAGCAGGATAAAAACTTGGTGACTGGGACCTCCTAAAAATTAGACATATACATCAAAAGAGTTCACTAAAGTAGTTAAAAGAGAATTCACACACTGGGGGAAATTTTTTGGCAATGACATATAAGACACAGGACTAACCTCTGAAATTTAATATCTCAATAATAAAGACAATCCAATTTAAAAATTGGCAGGGGACATGAACAGATACTTCACCAAAGAAGACATTCAGGTAGCCAAGAAACATATGAAACAAACTCGTGATCATTAACCATAAGAGAAATGCAAATCAAAATAGCCATGAGATATCATCTTACCCCATCATTAAGAGTAAAGTTCAAAAAAGCAGAAACCAATATGTGAGAGGGTTTGGAGAGACTGACACTCATACACTGCTTGTGAGTTTGTAAAATGGTACAACCACTATTGAAAGACGTTTGGCACTTCCTTAAAAAGTTAGAAATAGTAATAAAACATGATCCAGCAATCCCACTACTAGGTGTACATCCTAGAAAAAATATGAACCATAGCATAAGTAAATATATTCATATCCATATTCACTACAACACTAGTTCCATTTGCAAAAAGAAATTACCTAAATGTTCATCAGTGGATCAATGGATAGACAAACTATGCTATATCTACTCAATATTTCACATTTTACATTGTGGAAAACTGCACAGTGTTAATGAATCTGGGAAACAACTCATAATAGATGAACCTGGAGGACATTATGCTAAGCGAAATTAGTCCATCACAAAAGGGCAAATATTGTATGTGATCACTATTATAAAAAAGTCATAAAAGGCTTTCATACAAAAAGAAACATTATTTGATTGTTACCAGGGTGGGAGAGGAAGGGAGGGTAAAGCACATGTAGAAGGTAGACGCATATTAACTTGGGTGAAGGGGATGGCAATATACAATAAGGGGTAGGCCTGCAAAAAATAAACAAGGCAAAGGCAGACACTGGAAGGAGTAAAAGAGTAAAGGTAATAGAGGTAACTGCTATTATATATTGTTATTATGTTGTTGTTGCATGCTCTCGAGTCGGGTAGAAATATCGATTATTTCTACATGTGTATTTACATATTTACACGTGCCGCAAATACATCCAGGAATATAGTAGAGGATACAGGAGGCAAAGCTATGGAAACTTCTTAGCCATAACTATGCATCCTAAGTCACTGAGCCTGGGGCTTAGAACCATAAGACAGTAAGATCAATTGGCATAGCATAGTTCACAAAGACAGTGTTTTACAGCCTACTTTGGTGAGGAGCAACTGATGTCTTAAAAGCTTGTGTTGGTTGTTGTTGTGTCCTGTAGAGTCGGTTCCAACCCATAGTGTATAGGTTTTCCAAGGAGCAGCCAGTGAACTTGAACCACCAACCTTGTGGCTCAAACTGACTTTGCAGTGCAGTGCAATAATCCACAGCACCACACCAGGATGCAAAAGCTTGTGAGTGGCTATCTAATGTGCAACTTTTGGTCTCTCCCCTTCCAGAGCAAAGAATAGTTTAAAAAAAACAAAGACTAATTATAGAAAAAAAATTAGTCCAAACGAGTAATAGTCTACTCTAACCTCAACCTCCACAACTTTGAGACTGGAAGAACCAGACAGTGCATGGCTACCATTACTAACATATAAGGGAGAAAAGTGAACACAACTCAGAATCATAAGATAAAAGACCAGGTTTACTTGTCAGGTAGAGAATGGTGGAACCTCTGAGGGTATGAACCTTATTGTCATTATGTGCCATAGAGTCAGTTCTAACCCATAGAAACCCTGTATAAGGCTTTTGAGAGTGACTGGTGGGATTGGACCACCAAACTTGCAGTTATCAGTCCAGTGCTTATCCTACATTGCCCCACCAAAGCTCAATGTATGGACATTTGTTGTTGCTGTTAAGTGCCGTCAAGTCGGTTCCAACCCATAGCAACCCTGTAGAGGGTTTCCGAGGAGCAGCTGATGAGCTTGAACCTCCAACCTTGCAGTTCAAATGGCTTTGCAGGCTGGTGCATTAACCCATAGCACCACACTAGGACTCCTGGAACTAAATTCACCCATGGCTCAACTTTCAGCCAAACAATATATAGGTCTATAAAGTGACCAACAATACCAGGAATGTTTGAGAACAATCAGTCATTAGAGGTTAAAAGTGCAGTATTTGGGGAGAGGCTGAGAGAAGCAATGTCTGCAGGCATGGTGGTGGTAACGGCAGTGCTGGCCCGGATCCTGCAAGTATCTTCTAAGGTGAACTCCACATGGTATCCATCTTCCTCCTTCTCTTCCTCTTCAGTGTCAACTTTAAAGCTCTTCATTGATAGGAAATTTGTTGATTCCAAAAGTGATAAATGGATTGACATCCATAATGCAGCCACTAATGATGTCATTGGTCGAGTCCCTCAGGCCACCAAGGCTGAAATGGTTGCAGCCGTTGCTTCCTGAATGGGCAGACACTTCCATATTAAGTCGTCAGCAAGTCCTGCTCCACTATCAACAACTTATTAAAGAAAACTTGAAAGAAATTGCCAGGTTAATCATCTTGGAACAATGGAAGACCCTAGCTGATGCTGAAGGAGATGTATTTTGAGGCCTTCAGGTGGTTGAACATACTTGTAATGTGACATTCCTCTTGCTGGGAGAGACCATGCCACCCATTTCCAAACACATGGACTTTTATTCCTATCGCCTGACTCTGGGGGTGTGTGCAGGCATTGCTCCATTCAACTTTCCTGCCATGATCCTCCTTTGGATGTTTCTGATGGCCATGGTCTATGGAAATAACTTCCTAATGAAACCATCAGAGTGAATCCCTGGAGCAACTATGCTTCTTGCTAAATTGCTCCAGGACTCTGGTGCCCCTGATGTAACACTGAACGTCATCCATGGACAGCATGAAGCTATAAACTTTATTTGTGATCACCCAGATATCAAAGCAATCAACTTTTTAGGATCCAACCAGGCAGGAGAGCACATTTTTCAGAGAGGGTCAAGACATGGCAATAGAGTACAAGACAATATGGGAGACAAGAACCATGGAGTAGTCATGCCAGATGCCAATACACTGAACCCGCTGATTGGGGCAGCCTCTGGAGCCCTACATGACTCTTTCAACAGTGATCCTTGTTGGAGAAGCCAAACAATGACTTCCAGAACTAGTGGAGCGAGGCAAAAACCTGAGAGTCAATGCAGGAGACCAGCCTGGAGCTGATCTTGGCCCTCTGATTACTCCCCAAGCCAAAGAGAGAGTCTGTAACCTCATTGACAGTGGAACCAAGGAGGGAGCTTCCATCCTTCTTGATGGACAAAGAATTAAAGTCAAAGGTTATGAAAATGGCAACTTTGTTGGATCAACCATCATCTCAAATGTCAAGCCAAATATGACCTATTACAAAGAGGAGATTTTTGGTCCCATTCTTGTGGTTCTGGAGACAGACACATTGGATGAAGCTATCAAGATTATAAATGATAATCCATATGGAAATGGAACTGCCATCTTTACCACCAATGGAACCAGTGCTCGGAAATATTCCCACCTGGTGAGTGTGAATGTCCCCATTCCTGTGCCTTTGCCAATGCTCTCATTCACCAGCTCTCGATCTTCCATCAGGGGACACACCAATTCCCATGGCTAACAGGGCATCCAGTTCTATACTCAGCTGAATACCATCACTTCTCAGTGGAAAGAAGAAGATGCCATTTTCTCCTCATCTGCAGTAGCCATGCCTTCCAGGGACCATTAGAAACAAGTCTGTTCCAGACTCAGACCAGGCTTGAGTAATAACCCTGTATTCTTGACCAACTTCATTTGTCAACTTTGTTCTGATAATTAACATTTCCCTAGGATTGGAATCAGAGTCCTGGTGTGGCGCTATGGGTTAATGTGCCAGACGGCAAAGCCATTTGAACTACAAGGTTGGTGATTCAAGCTCACCAGCTGCTCCTCAGAAACCTTATACAGGGTCGCAACTGACTCAATGGCACTCAACAATCACAAGTATTGGAATATCATGTAGCTAAAATCTTTCTCAGGACAATTAGTCCTAGCAAAGTTGCTATAAAGAGACTCGTAGTATAACTTTAGGAGCTCTGGTAGCATAGTGGTTATGAGTTGGGCTCATAACTGTTCCACAGGAGAACTATGAGGCTTCCTGCTCCTTAAAGATTTACAGCCTCAGAAACCCTGTACAGGGCCGCTATGAATCGGGACTGACTCCACTGCACATAACCACCACCAATGTAACTTTAAACCCAGATATTCACTTGTTCTTCCTACTTCTATTTTGACATAACTAACAGTGAAATGCTTATTGGGAAGGAGAGTTTAAGTTGACTAAAAAAGGTTCCTTTTTCTTGAAGGTTAATTTATGTAAATATCTTCTAGTCATTGGAAGAGGAACTCCTGGGTGGAGAAATAAGATAGAATCAGCTCACACTTTGGTTCATTCTCGGCTATAATCCCACATAAATGCTGGTGGGAAAAACCCTTCTGCAAAAATTTCCTGAGCTTCTAATTTACCCACACTGTGCAAAATATGACCCATTTCTATTTAGCCCAAAGGTTGACAGATACTTTTTTTTTTCTGCTGAACGCCACTTTGTTTTCCTAGCATTGTTGTTGTTGTTGTTAACTGCCATCGAGTCGGTTCCGACCCATAGCGACCCTGTACAGGGTTTCCGGGGGTATAAATCTTTACGGGAGTAGAAAGCCTCATCTTTCTCCCGCGGAGCGGCTGGTAGTTTCGAACCGCTGACCTTAAGGTTCACAGCCCGATTCGTAACCACTACGCTACCAGAGCTCCTTGCATAACCACTACTTAATTCCATCATTGTCAGTGTTCTTGCCTTTTAAAATCACCACTTCTCAAGGATACCTCAGTATGCACTGGATAAATCACCTTTTTTGTTATGCATGCCAAGTGTTAAATTTCAGGGTTTGCATTAGAAGTCATTAGTTAATGCTTCAGCCATTATTAATTAAGACCTGAAAGATGCAAAAAATGTTTTAAGAAAACTTGTTATTTAGAAAACTGATATCAACAGTTATTTTAGGCCCCGAAATCAAGGAGGTGTTTTAGCCATGAAAATGGATAAAAATCTTGCCTTAAGTGAGATTAGCCTGATAATTACTTGCCTTACTATAATTTTCTATGTTCTTCTTTCCTCTTGTCTGCATTTCTCATTGTTGTTGTTGTTATTGTTAGGTTACATCAAGTTGGTACTGACTCATAGCAACCCTATGCACAACAGAACGAAACACTGCCCAATCCTGGGCCAACCTCACTATTGTTGCCACACTTGAGTCCATTGATGCTCCCACTTTGCCAATTCATCTCGCTGAGGGTCTTCCTCTTTTTCTCTGACCCTCCACCTTACCAAACATGATATCCTTTTCCAGCAACTGGTCTCTCCTGACAATATGTCAGAAGTATGAGAGACAAAGTTTGTCCATCCTGGCCTCCAAGGAGCACTTGGGCTGCACTTTTTCCAACACAGATCTGTTCTTTGGCAGTCCATGGTACTTTCAATATTCTCCTCCAACACCATAACTCAAAAGCATCAATTCTTCTACAGTCTTCCTTATTCACTTTCCAGCTTTCACATGCATATGAGGTTATTAAAAATACCTTGCCTTGAAGAGGTACACCTTAGTCCTCATGCTGACATCTTTGTTCTTCAACACTTTAAAAAGGTCTTGTGCAGCAGATTTGCCTAATGCAATACATCGTTTGATCTCTTGACTGCTGTTTCCATGAGTGTTGATAGTTGATCCAAGAACAATGAAGTCCATGACAACTTCAATGTTTTCTCCATTGATAAGAATGTTGTTTATTGGTCCAGTGGTGAGGATTTTTGTTTTCTTTACATTGAGATGCAATCCATACAAAAGGCTGTGCTCTTTGGTTTTCATCAGCAAATATTTTAAATCCTCTTCATTTTCAGAAAGCAATGTTGTATCATCTGCATATCACAGGTTGTTAATGTCTTCCTCCAATCCTGATGCCACATATTTCTTCATATAACCCAGCTCTCAGATTTGCTCAACAGTGATACTTAAAAATGAAAGAACTCTTACAGTAATTGGTGTGCTGTGCTGGACAGAATAGATTCTGTGTTTTTGTTCTACCATCTCCACTACCCCTGACTTTCTGATTAAGGTTTTCACCCAGTGAACTAGAAGGCCGAAAGAGTACTCTCTGATGCTCAGTCAGATGGCATAGGTCATTGTTTTTCTGCTTCCTCATTAGTCACCTGCATAGTGCCAACCTACTCCATTGGGGTTATTTAGCGAATTAACGATGGTGAAAAACTTTCAAAAATATTCGTATACTGAGTGGTTGACCTTGCAGTCCAGGAACGGAGGACTCTGGGACCATCAAGGGAGAAGAGCGGAGTGCGGGACCCTATGCAGAGAAGCAGTGATGCCAGAGATAGAGTTAGAGACAATGGCATGGAGAGTTGGAGCGGCTGGGGACTCTGGACTCTGGGAGGGAGAAGTGCTGTGTGCTGATGGCCAGGGGGCAGGCTTGCGTGGTGTGCCTTTTGGTGCATGCATATGAGGTTATTAAAAATACCATGGAATTTAGGGGAATACTAAATCTGAGACACTGCCTAGAGCATGTTCATTTCTTGTTGTCATCTTATTATTTCCTTGGCTAATCCAGACTTCAGTATGTTCCACATAAAGAAAGATGTCAACAGTTTATTTACAAGGGTAATCCATCTACCAATTGCTATTAGTTCTCAACAGCACTGATCCCTGAACCTCCTGGAATTTTCTCATAATTTCTATGTACCATGATTTCAGTTTTAAAATTTCCACCTAAGACGAATGATAGTGCAACTCCCTTCCTATGGTAATGTTCACCTCACTCTGAATGGAACCATGGCTGTCGTCAGCCCTACAATCATATTTGCCAGCATCACTCTCTTTTACAACCAGGATCTCTAGTTCTGCTGACAGGGAATTCTGAGTCTTCTTTCCCATATTGTTTTTTGTGTCTTCTCTGTGCCAGGAGAATGTGATGGTTCCTGTGGTCCCAGACACCAAGTAGAGGAAAACCAGCTTCCCTCCTTCAATCACCTGCCCCTCCAGGGGTTTGGGTCTCTAAGCTTACATTAGCAATGGACACTCCTGGGTGAATACAAGATAAAATGTAAGAATCCTTGTCATTGTCATTGCTATTGTTAAGTGCTATCTAGGGTTTCAAAGGAGTGGCTGGTGGGTTTCAACTGCTAAGCTTGTGGTTAGCAGTACAGTGCCTATCCTCTAGAAAATCTGCAGCTGAATCAATGGAAAACTCTGAAACCAGAGCAAAGAATGATTTCACTCTCTATTGAGAAGAATGGGAACATAGGGATTTACTTGTTATACACTGTAAGTGTTTCTACATATATATGAAATCCATTGTAATTCACCAGGAAAAATGTGGATACAGATCCTTCCATGTTCCAACCCCGATTCTGGCTTGTTTCATGGCAGCAATCACTAAAGAATTTGTTATGGAACATCTATTCCATGAGAGATTAAACATTTTTTTGGTTAAGTTGCTGTGCAGATAGATGCCTTTTACATAGAATGAAGAGGGATACTGGCGGCATTAGCCCTACTTTGGAAAAGGTGCTATTCTTACTAACAATCCCATAACAATTCTTCCTACATTTCTAATTTCAAGGCCTAACCAAGCCAAATCACAACTCTATCCTAAAGTGTCTTCTGACCACTTAAATTTACTCTGCTTTCTGCCTTTTTCTTGTACTTCATTTGCTCCCATGAGCTGTAGCACTATATCACTTCTAGGTGTATTGCAATCCCAGCAGATCAGCATTTGGAGGCAGGAAGCTTGCTGGCACACTGCTAAGTCACACATTGTGATCAATGAATATTTGATTATTTGACTGATAAAAAAGAGAGATTCTAGGGAGCTTAATCCAGTTTTGATGCTTGCAAATAAAGATGTCAAGCACAATTTGGAGAGTTTAATGAGTACAATTCCCATTTTCCACAGGATAAGAGTTACACAAATAAATCAAAAGACTAGTAGTCCCAAATGAAGCTACAGCACAACTCTCTTTTCTGTCAGGCTCTGTTCTACTGATACTCACTCTACACACAGATCTGAGGTTGGAGGCTCTGGTTTTTGACTCTATGAATCACTGTTAGTGCCTCATACTGGTAAGATCCTGAGGCTTGACTCCATATATTGGTGATCTGGAGCTCTGAGGCTTGACTTCACCCTGACCCAAGGCCTTCTCTTAAGAAGCAGTATTGGAGCTCAGTATCTGACCTTTGTAGATGGAGTGTTGTCTCACAGGTTAGGGTCACTGGAGTCCCTTCAGTGGGCAGAGAAGGGCTGGCTGCCAGCACAGGCAGTGGAAACAGCTCTAGAAAAAAAGATTACCACAGTTCCAAGACCTGTGTAACTCAGAGATTCTCTTGGAAAGCAACTGGTGAGAGGCAATCCCAGCAAGTATGGTCAAATCACTAGCATTACCATTCCTGTTTGGTTCATAGGCACCTCCCACCCCCAGCTTCAGCCAGAGAACCTCAAAGAATTGGAAGATTGGAAGCCTCCAAAGTTATAATCAGTGTACCAAAAACGATTTGTTACCAAGTCAATTCCAACCATGGTGACTTCATCTGTGTCAGAGTAGAACTGTGTTCCATAGGATCTTCAAAAGATTGATTTTTTTCAGAAGTAGAATAGATCTTTCTTCCAAGGTGCCTTGAACCTTCAGTCTTTCAGCTAACAGTTGAGAATGCTAGCTGTTTGCCACCCCCAGGGATTGCAATGCATGTACATAACCTTTTTTTTTTTTTTTTTTTTTTTTCAAG